GGGAATGCTCTGCAAAGGAGAGTGCTCTGCAGAGGAGCGTGCTCTGCAAAGGATATCTCTGTCTTCACCGCGCCCGAAGCTAACTCACCGAAGCTGACTCACCGAAGCTGACTCACCGAAGCTGACTCATGTATTTGTCTAGTTGTGTGTCTTCATAAATAAAAAATATTTGACTGCAAGATCCGTGGCTTCGGGCCAAGAAGCTGCTTCTTCTTGTTCGCCGCTCGCCCTTGAAGGCGGTTTATCAGCTGCTTTGTCGGTCGCCGCTTGCTGTTGCTCCTGTCTTACGTAGCTTTGCCGCGGGGCGCCCGCCGCACTTTTTTTGGCGCCGGGTTTGTTAAGTCGCGCTGGCCGCGAGTGAAAGCTGGCGCTTGGAAGCGGGTCCTGGGTGGGTGGGATTTGATATCGAAACTTTTGATGAGCTTTGTTTTGAAAAAAATCTATGTCTCGAAATCTTAAACCCTAAATCCTAAACCCTAAACCCTAAACCACCTACTTCGTTGGTCGCGCTACGCGCGCGCCCTCTCACCGCTTTGCTTTCGCTGCGTTCGATTTGTTGATTTGCGCTGGTGTGGAAGCTAGCCCTTGGTAGCGGGCCTGGGTGGGTGGGATTGAGATCGAAACTTTTGATTGACGGCGCTATGAAGATTTCCATGTTTCAAATCCTGTGAACCCTAAACCCTAAACCCTGAACCCTAAACCTCTATTCTCTACTCTAGTTTATTGCGAAATCGTGGCAGGCGCATCACTTTGGCGATGCCGTTGCGAAATCGTGGCAGGCGCAGCACTTTGGCGATGCCGTTGCCGAAGTCGTGGCAGGCGCTGCATTCTATGCATCTGGGTGTTCTGTAATCGCATCCATACAAGGGGCGCACGGTACATGTGTGTGGACATTTGAACTCACATCCTTGGGAAAAACATAGCATGTGGGGTTATCCGGTCCTTTAATTTTTATATTCACCATTGGTTCTATCTACTTCTTTACTTTGATAACTGTTTGTTAAAGGTTTCTTCTTTTCCATTTCTTGCAAGATTTCTAAAATATTCTTATTCTGTTCTAAAACCTTGTTGAGTTTTTAACAATCTTTTCTAATCCTTCATCCATGTAAATATATATATTATATTATAAAATAAAACTTTTAAAACTAAACTTTTATTTTACAAAATCATATATCATTATAATTCAATTCAAAATTAGTTATTGTGTAACTCGTTAAATTATTATTCAATTTACCAATTAAATTACAAATAATAGTTTTTCTAAATTTTGAATATTTATGAAACTTTTCAATATTATCTGTAATATAAATTATTAAACATTTAATACATTCAAACACATTAACAACATTAATATTACTATTTTTGTAAATATTATTCATTTTTCTCAATGTAATTTCATAAAATTGAATAGCATTTTTATTATCATAATTAGTAATAAATCTTAAAGTATATTGAATATATTCTTTTACAATAAAATTGTAAATCTAATTGTTCAAATAAATCAGTATAATTAATAAAATTATAAAACATGTTAAAATCAATTTTACTATTTCTAAAGTCATTAACAAAATTAATTAATATATCATTTTCGTTATATTCTTCAATAAAATTATTTAATTTCAATTCTTTTACAATAAATTTACGAATATTATTTATAACATCTTGCATTATAAATAATAATAGAAATAATTTTAATTATTATTTTTTCATCATTTCGCATATCGTTTCCTGTGTTTCCTTATCGCCATTATCGGATGGAGTAACTCCCCTCCCAAAGCGTATAGCAATATTATAAACATCTCTTTCTAAGTTGATATTGTCTTTAGTTTTATCAATATTCATTTTCTTATCATTCTTACTTAGTTTGAAACTTGTCGGAATACACGAACATTTACAGTTTCCTTTCTTTTGTATTTCTAATTCATTTTTTAATTCTAACATCTTTTTACACATTAGACAAGCAAATTCAATAACTAATGTTTCTTTAACAACTTCTTCTTTTTCTTCATCAGTTAAAGAAACAACTGGTTCAATCTTATTCTTTTTCTTTCTTCCCATTTATAATAATACTTACATTTTATTTTTGATATATTGTATCACAAACTTAATTATTTCTAAAACAAAATAGCATACTTTCTTGCATCTATTATCAATTATAACAACTTGTTCTAAATTCTCTACTTCATCTATTATATCAATATAATCTAAATAGCTTCTATTCATATAAAATAATAAATATAAAATATTTTCTAAATAACTTTAATATTATTTTATTATGTCAGATGTTCCAATAATAAAACCAATAAACATAACTGAATATGAATTCAAACAATCTAAATATGAGCACGTGCCAAAATTACCATTTAGAAGTATTATAGTTGCTTCTTCGACAGGCGGCAAAACGGTCTTATGAATTGCACGTGGATGATGAAAAAGAACAAATTTATTTTGATAATTATAATCCAAGTGATTTAGAAAATGTAATTGAAAGACAGAAGAA